CAAAGCACAAAAGTTTAATTTAAATGTAATATTCTCCTAGATTATGCTCCATATAAGTGGCTTGCACTATAAATTATAGGCTAATTTTAGCCTAAGTAATCGCAACGTAACCTTTATTACTATAAATTATAGGCCACGAATTATATTCTTGAAATCCACATGTTGCCCATGGTCGAGTAGCTAGTAATTAAGTACTTACATTTCTTAGCATATATAATCCCTCGTTTATACACGAAATGGCAGATCTATTTACTCTATCAATAACCGAGCCGGATCTGGTGTATCATAAGGGATTTTCTTTTTCTATTGATTCGTACGGATTGGATCAAAAAAAATTCTTGAATGAGGTATTCAACACCAGGGCTGAATCGAAAAAGAAATCTTTATTGGTTCTGTCTCCTGTTCTTTTTCGTTATGAGGAGAATGAATATTTTTTTCGAAGGATCAGACAAAAACGGGTCTGGATCTCCTGCAGGAATGATTTGGGAGATCTAAAGCAAAAAATGGTAGTATTTGCTAGCAATAACATAATGGAAGCAGTCAATCAATATATAATAATTGCGATCAAGTTGGTAGATGCAGTTCAAATAAATAAGGAATATAATATTCCAAATTCAATATTCTTCCAATATGATGTCGCCAAAATTTTGTCATGTATATTCTCTATATTATACTAAATATTGCACGCAAAACATGGTATACATGCGTGTATATTTACTTATTTATTCATTCATTATACTTCCTACGATAAGTTTCTATATACATGATTGTGGGAAAAAAAATAGAGAATTCGTAGCACAAATTAATGTGATAGAAAAAATTTTTGTAAATTTGTAAATTTGAAAAAAAATTAATGTCTTAACTCTTATTGCCTGAAATAAATTTGTAAAGAAAATTAGAAAAAAACATGATTAGTGAACTATTTTAAATTTATAATACAATTTTTTAAAAGTATACTATAGGCCTAATATGTACTAGTATAATATGATGTTATATTTTAAAAGTATACAATTATAGGCCACTAAAATTTCCAATAATTCATAAAATTTCGAAATATACACACACAACAATTCATAATTTACCCAATAACTTATAAAATCAAAAATATATACACAATTATTCCTAAAATTTCGAAATATACACAATAATAATTTATAAAATTCAAAATTCAAAAAATATAAAAGAGTAATTAAATATATATATATATATATATATATATATATATATACACGTACGTGCCGTATATGCGTCGATCGACGACGACGTCCGGCGTCCGGCGGTGTGGCAGCGCGGGCGAGCGGCAAGCGGCGAGGCAACGACAGGCGAGCGGCAAGCGGCGAGGCAGCGAACGGGGAGGCGGCGACCGGCGACCGTCGCTGCCTCTGTCTACGGTGGCGGTGGTGGAGGGCTTTTGGTGGCGGTGGTTGAAATGAGTGGTGGAGGGTTTTTGGTGGCGATCTGATCTGTCTTAGCTTCTATTTTACGTATTAAATGAATGAGTATACGGCGTCGGCTATATACGTAGCCGACGCCGTATACTATATATATATATATATATATATATATATATATATATATATATATATATATATATATATTTTCGGCTATATACGTAGCCGACGCCGTATACTATATATATATTTTTTTATTTTTTAATTCGAGTATACGGCGTCGGCTTTATACACGCCGACGCCGTATACTATATTTATTTTTTATTTTTTTTATATAATATACGGCGTCGACGTTATAAATAGCCGACGCCGTATAGTATATATATTTTATTTTTTATTTTTTAATTCGAGTATACGGCGTCGGCTTTATACTCGCCGACGCCGTATACTATATTTATTTTTTATTTTTTTTATAGGATATACGGCGTTTAGAAAAACCGACGTTATAATGGCGACGTTAAATCCATTTTCTGTAGTAGTGTAAAATTCCAATCGGGCAAAACCCTCCACGGTAGGGTCAGGAGTGGTCACCCGTGCAGAACCGGCTCAATGGTAGGGATGAGTGACAAATGAATTTAATCATAAACTCAAACGGACAAAAATCTTTACAGGTAGGGCCGAGAATAGTCACTCGTGCAAAACCGAATCAACTGTAGGGACGAGTGACAAATGAATATAATCATAAACTCAACCAAACAAAATCGTTATAGGTGGGTGGAGAATACTCGACTCGAGACTATACCACAAAAAGCGCCAATGATAGCATAAATTGAACTAAAGATCAAGACTATTCTAAAATATAATTATAATAAACAAATAAAATGACGCTTAGTCACCCAGACTCTAAATATAATTATTAAGTATTGGGAAAATGGCACTTTTTCCCCCTATGTTATATACTTATAGCACTTTTTCCCCCTCAATTATTTATGTAAGCACATTAGCCCCCTCAATTATTTTAAAAGTGGTGGTTTTCCCCCCTAATATATTAAATTGACATTTCTACCCTTAAAGTAAACATTTTATTTATTTTACTTCTCCAACAAATTATTGCGTATATGTAGCTATTACCACGGTTCGGTTCGAACTGAACCAGACACTATAGCAATCGAATTAAAACTTTTCAGTTATGATTCAGATCTAGAACCCAATATTTGGATTTCAATTTATTAAATTTAAGAATAAAAAAAATTGGATCATGAACCGGCGGTTCCGGATCCCGTTCGCGATTTTGAACTGCCTATATTTTAAAATTTTATTTTTTATTTTAAAATAGTTTAAATTCAACAATAAATGTATTTTATTTTTTCAGTTCGGAACATGAACCAGCCATTCCAGTTCGCGATTTTAATAAACTCTAAATATCGCGTTTTGATTATAAATTGTAATTGGAATATTTTGGTTTGGTTACTATAGTATCTGGTTTGAACCAAATTATAGTAATAATTTATTGGAGAATAAAAATAAATGAAATATTTATTTTAAGGGTAAATATGTCCATTTAACATTTCAGGGGAAAAAAGAGCCACTTAAATAATTGAGGGGGAAAAAATGCTATAAGTATATAACATAGGGGGAAAAAGTGTCATTTTTCCTTAAGTATTTAATTTTAATTTTGATTGTGAATCTAGGTTAGTTGAAACGCCCCTAAATCATGATTTAGTTTGAAGAATCTGTAGACTCCATAGTCCAAAGGCACCACAGTGGGGGACCCTCCGCCGTGCCAACCCTTCCAATCTCTATCCGTGACACCTGCCAACATTTCTGTCTTTCTGTTTCTACAAACGACACCAATGATAGCATAAATTGAACTAAAGATCAAAACTACTCTATAATATAATTATAATAAACAAGTAAAATGACGCTCAGTCACCCAAACTCCAAATATAATTATTAAGTATTTAATTTTAATTTTGATTCTGAATCTAGGTTAGTTGAAACGCCACTAAATCATGATTTAGTTTGAAGAATCTGTAGACTCCAGAGTCCAAAGGCACCACAGTGGGGGGCCCTCCGCCGTGCCAACCCTTCCAATCTCTATCCGTGACACCTGCCAACATTTCTGTCTTTCTGTTTCTCCCTCACTCGCTGCATCCCTACACGCATTTAGCGTACAACCACCCAACCATTATTATGCCTCTCATCTTTTCGTTTTTTCCACGCTTAATAAATTATTGTCCTCCATGAATTAACGTTATTTTAATCGAAACTGTTCACTATCATCCCAAGACAAGTTGCAATATTCCAAATCCTCCTCAAATACCCCAAAAATTCTCGCCATTCCCCAGATCCCATTTCCCCCATATACTCCAAAAAAGTTTGTGTCTTTTGATCCTTTTTAGACCTTTCTTTGAATCTGCGTTGAAACTTATCGAATGCCCACATTAAAATATTTGTTGTTGATCCAACAAAAACATATAAAAATGAAGAAATTTAAAGGCCGGCTTGAGTTTACTGGGAATTTGGGATAATGAATTAATGTGCAGTGGACTCACTTGTCAGATGTGCACCACTCCTATATTTGTCATCATCCCATTATAAAATTGTTTTTCTTTTAAACATATATATTAAAATTTTAATTTTACTACGGAGTATAAATTAATCATAATTCTAGTCAAAAGACTTTGTGGCCAAACGACATAATTATGACTTTTACTAATGAAAGGTCACAAGTTTAAATCTTAATTTGAGGGAATTAACTTTTTTATACTTTAGAGATTTAATAGAATCAACGTTAATTAGTAGGTTGAGAAAGTTGGAGTGATTACTTTAGATCTGGTGGGGGAGAATTTGATTTTTTAAAAACAAATTTTAATTATCTTTGACAATTGAAGTGGAATGCAACCTTTTACCCACTATTATGTTCAAATATATGTTTTATTACAGAAAAAATCCACCAAATTTTAGTAGTTTGAGATGAATATTAAAAAAAAGGAATAAGGTTCAAATTGGCCACTGAACGTAACCAGAAAATGCAATTATACCATTGAACGAACAAAAAGTGTAATTAGGCCACTGAACACTCAAAAAAGGGCAATTAGGCCACTGAACTCTCCAAACGTATGCAATTTCACCGGATAGCAGGTTACCATCAATTTTAGCAAGTTACCTGCTTACGTGACAGCTGAGTTGGCATTTTTAATAATTTTTAAATAATTTTTAATAATTTTTAATAATTAATTTTAATAATAATTTTATAAAAAATTGAAAAAAAAATTAAATAAAGTCGTTTTTATTTTTTAAAATTTTTTTTAAATAAAAATTTATTATTAAAATTTATTAAAAATGATTTAAAATTTATTAAAAATGCCAACTCAGCTGCCACGTAAGCAGATAACCTGCTAAAATTGAGGTAACCTGCTATCAGGTGAAATTACACATTTTTAGAATGTTGAGTGGTCTAATTACACTTTTTTTTCGTTCAGTGGCCTAATTGCATTTTCAGGTTACGTTCAGTGACCAATTTGAACCTTATTTCTAAAAAAAATAAATTTATTTCAAGAATTTCAAGAAGATAAAGGAGTACATCTTGATATGTGTTGGCAGATATCAGTGTTCAGAGGCTTGGTATTAGTTATGATGGGACATTATCTTTTATTATCAGTAAGGTAATAGTTTATGATTATTTTTCAATTATTGAATTATTACAAGTGAAATAATTGTGTCAAAAATGAACTGTTTCCAACAGTTAATAGGTTTTAATGATGGTGGATGTGAAAGGTTTGGCAACTGAACATTTCTGGTTGAAAATGGCGGCCCCATTTTCTTGATAGAATCCATCTAGATTGGGCTTTGAATAATGGTCATTTTCCAGTGGAATGCCACACAAGCTTGAAGCATTACGAAAATGGAAAAAGAGAGAGAGGAAAAGGAGAAGAATCTGTAAAAAAGTTTGAAGGCCGAGAAAGACAAGTTGCAGAAATATGGAAAAAATTGTCCTTTTTAGCTTTTATAGCTTTTTTTTTTGAGAGAAAAAGATTGCCCTTTTTAGCTTTTATAGTTTGAAACGGCAAAGAAAAAAAAATGGGGCAAACGTTGAAGCCATGACCCGTGAAAGGGACTAGCCAGCAATGGTGGTTGAAGAGAAAGGGTCCCGGTGCTTATCACGTGGAACTCCTTCTATAAGGAATGTAGTCTACACGCTACTGCTACTGATATTGATGATTTCTACTGTTCTTAGCTTTGGGTTTTGGTTTTCTTGAATTCAAACAGCCATTTTTGGCCTGGGGGTGTGCTCTCAAGCTCAAGAAAAGCTTCAATTTCTGGTAAATTCTTTGTTTTCTGGTAAAATATCATACCAGCTCAAATCAAGAAGGTCAATAGGTCGCTTCCTTGAAACTTTATGGTTAGTATCTAACCAATTTAGCATTACCCAAAATTTCTTTGATTCTTGAGAGTAGAAGAGGCTCTAGTTTCTTGAAATCTTTGAAATTTGTATGGTTCTTTGCTTGGGTGAATTGCAATCAGCCCAGCTCATGTTTAATAAGACCCTTTTTGCCATTTTGCCAATTTGCCAATTTGCCAGTTTGAGTATAGTACAAATGCATGTGTTATCTCAATCTTCTGGCAGTAGAGGTAGGTAGAAGTTTGGCAGTCTACTCATCAGTGCTGCATAAACGCGTATACATATACTATACAGCTGAGGGTATATTATACATGTATGTATGTATGTATGGATAGATGGATGATATCTTTTGTGTCTGTGTCCTTAAAATGGCATTTATTTCTGTGGGCTCAAACTTTTGGTATGATTTATTTGCTGTTGAATCATGTACTTTTGGCTTTCACTTTCCAATCCAACACCCCTCTGTACATTTTCTTGTTTTCTTCTACCTTCTCTATCTCTATTATGTTGTGTATTAGTGAAATGCTATCTGGTAAAATCGAAAGAATGCTGTTAGTTCCTTTCTTGATTGATTGAGGTTTGGATTAGGGTATGGTTCCCTCCGATAAATATCGAAAGAAAGAAACCCAGAGCTAAAATTGATGAGTTTCAGCTTTCAATCCCCTCAATATCGAGTTTTTTTAGTGTTAAGTGTACTGTGTTGTTTAAGGAATTAGGTATGGTAGCTGTAAGTTTTTGCCCTAGTGCCGTAATTGAAGAAACAAATATGCCATGTGGACTTCTTGAATTGCTAGGCCAATATGTCTTCCTTGTGTCTTTGATTAAGTCGGCCCTTTTTATAGGGCGATTTGAGATGGTCGTCTAACACTCACTGCCTCGAGTCCTCTGTGGAAATTCCTTTCGTTTTGACAAACCCGACGTGTCTTTGACAGCAATCTACGGTTCAGTACATAGGAATCTCGGGATAGATATGGATCTTGAATATGGGAAGTGTTGGGACACCACAAAGGTAAGTAAGTGTAGTGTTGTGGTTACCATTCAGTGTTTGCTAATCTGATAGATATGGATCTTGAAAATTACGGGGATTGTATTTTTTTGTGGCAGAAGAATTCTTGGAAGGCGACGCTGATCCTAGCTTATCAAAGTCTGGGTGTCGTTTACGGGGATCTCAGCATTTCCCCGTTGTATGTCTTCAAGAGCACATTTGCGGAAGACATTCAGCATTCGGATACTAATGAAGAAATTTTCGGGGTTATGTCGTTTGTTTTCTGGACTTTAACTCTTGTCCCTTTATTCAAGTATGTGTTTATAGTCCTCCGAGCTGATGACAATGGAGAGGGTAATTCATAATTGCTTGCCTAAATAAGCGTATCCTCACACTATTTGGCTACGAAACGAAAAAAATCATGCAATTTCTGTTGCTGCAGGTGGTACTTTCGCGCTTTATTCCTTAATATGCAGGCATGCCAAAGTAAGCCTTCTTCCAAACCGACAAGTTTCCGATGAAGCCCTTTCCACGTATAAACGGGAGGAACCTCCCGAGAGAAACAATAGATCGAGGGTGAAGTTGGTGCTCGAGAAGTACAAATTCCTCCACACGGCATTGCTAATCTTGGTGCTCCTTGGCACTTGTATGGTCATTGGAGATGGACTTCTTACTCCCGCCATATCCGGTATTACTCTTTGAGTTTAGTATCGGTCGAGCCTCGGAATGTAATTTTTCTTTATTTCTTATCACCGCTGATGCGTTATTCTGTCGTGCTGTAGTTTTCTCTGCGGTTTCTGGGCTCGAGTTCTACATGTCCAAGGATCACCACCAATGTAAGCTTTTTCCTCATAATATCAAAGAAACTTTATTTTCTCTGCGGTTTTTGGGCTCGAGTTCTACATTGTTGAGCATATAACCATTAATGTGCAATCCAACTATCAGCTTAGGCTTTTAGTTGAGATGGAGCACATATTTCAATTTACATGTTCGGAGTTATTCATATCTGTAAATTTTACATTTCAGATGCGGTGGTTCCTATAACTTGCGTCATATTAGTCTGCCTATTCGCGTTACAGCATTATGGCACGCACCGTATCGGCTTTTGTTTTGCGCCGATCGTGTTATCTTGGTTAATCTGCATAAGTGGGCTCGGATTGTACAATATCTTCACTTGGAATCCGCACGTTTACAAGGCGCTTTCCCCGTATTACATGTTCAAGTTCTTGAAGAAGACTAGAAAAGATGGATGGATGTCGTTGGGGGGAATTCTCTTGTGCATAACAGGTAAAACCTCGAAGACATGAATATTGTTCTTATCGTTTCGGGTGCTATTATTCTGAAAATATCCTCTACTAATTGCAGGATCTGAAGCAATGTTTGCTGACCTCGGGCACTTCTCGTATGCTGCAATTCAGGTTTTTTTTTTTTTTTTTTTTTTTGGTCGTTTTTGACAATTTAAAGTTCATGCTGAAAATTTTGTATCGTCCCGAGTCCTAAAACTTGATTCTGCTTTATTTTCTACTCCAGACCGCATTCACCTTTCTGGTTTATCCAGCGCTTATATTGGCATATATGGGCCAAGCAGCTTTTTTGTCGAAGCATCATCACAACATGCACGAGATTAGTTTCTATTTGTCTGTTCCAGGTATTAAGTTTGCTTCAAACTAGTTCTTTGTTGAATAATTGATCATAGTTTCGCCCTCGGGCTGTCCAGAATCGTTATAAATTTCTCTCGAAAGGCGATTCTTATTTGTAAGGTGTTGAATTGCAGGAAGTGTAAGGTGGCCGGTTCTTATTATAGCCATTCTTGCTTCTGTCGTTGGCAGTCAGGCAATCATCAGTGGAACATTCTCGATTATCAACCAGAGTCAATCACTAGGTTGTTTTCCAAGAGTTAAGGTTGTTCACACCTCGGCTAAAATACATGGGCAGATTTACATCCCGGAGATAAATTGGACTCTCATGATCCTTTGTGTTGCTGTGACTATCGGGTTCCGGGACACGAAACATTTGGGAAATGCATCAGGTACATTTTGAATCGTTGGAATTTTAAGACATTTTGCCTATTTTATGCTCAAAGTCGAGGAATCTGTTGCATATGTTGCAGGGTTAGCTTTGATGGCAGTTATGCTGGTGACTACCTGTCTAACGTCGTTGGTTATTGTCCTGTGTTGGCACAAGCCTCCGATTCTTGCGCTTGTCTTTCTTGTTTTTTTTGGATTTGTTGAATTGCTTTACTTCTCTGCATCTGTGATCAAGTTCCTCGAGGGTGCTTGGCTCCCGATCCTCCTCGCCCTCATCTTGGTAACTGTCATGTTCGTTTGGCACTACGCCACGATCAAGAAATATGAATTTGATCTGCACAACAAGGTTTCGTTGGATTGGCTGCTAGCCTTAGGCCCGAGCCTTGGCATTGCTCGAGTCCCGGGCATTGGCATTGTGTTCAGTGATCTGACCTCGGGGATCCCTGCGAACTTCTCACGTTTCGTCACCAACCTCCCTGCCTTCCACCGTGTGCTGGTTTTCGTGTGTGTGAAGGCTGTCCCCGTCCCTTTCATCCCCCCAGCCGAGCGGTACCTCGTGGGGCGCGTTGGACCGCCCTCCCACCGCTCCTACAGGTGCATCGTGCGGTATGGCTACCGGGACGTTCACCAGGATGTAGACTTCTTCGAAACCGAACTCGTCAGTAAGCTTGCTGATTTCATCCGCTACGACTGGTACAAGACGAACGGGATCATCACCTCACCGAACGACGACGATGGGTCTCGTTCTGGTGCATCGTCAAGCGAATACCGGTTAGCAGTGATAGGAACCATGGCTTTCCCGGGCACACCCGCCTTTGAAATCGAGGAAACCGCCCAACCCGAGAGCGTTTCCTTCGGTTTCCCCACCGCCGAGAGCCTAACCGACATCATCGAGATGCAACCAACCACAACAGCAGCATTAGCAGCAGAGAAAAGGGTGAGATTTGCTGTTGATGACTCAGAACCAGACTCACACTCACACCAAGAAATGGACATTCAGCTTCAAGAAGAGCTGAGGGATCTCCACGAAGCCCGAGAAGCCGGGATTGCCTTCATTCTCGGGCACTCACACGTAAGAACAAAGCAAGGCTCATCCATATTCAAGAGATTAGCCATCAACTTTGGGTACAATCTCCTGAAGAGAAACTGCAGAGGGCCAGATGTATCCCTTAAAGTCCCTCCAGTGTCCCTTCTTGAGGTTGGGATGGTATATGTTGTCTGAGATGTAAATGATTGTAAGTTTTGCTTGTTTCTTTACACTTTAATCTACTGATCTGATGCCCTTTTCAAGATCTGCAAGAATGTTAACTGCTCAGATTAGTGTAGTTCTAGAAGGGCATTTCTGGCTTCAAATTCCTTTGGTTTTTTTTTTTTTTTTTTTTTTTTTTAAATTTTTCTGGCCGGTGTTATTACAGCATTACTAAGAACTCGCATACCAAATGCAAGAAAGGAAGCTATAAGAGTAGAATATACTGAATTGACAAAAGACTGGATATTATAATTTCATTTGACTGAATTCTCTACCACTAAAGATTATTGGATTCCACTTTTAATCAATTATTTACTCTCTAACCACACATGGTTGGCAAATTATACCGTGCACCAGGGTGTACATTACATTGTGCACCCTAAAAGTTTATGTGTATTATGTTAAAAGTTCATGTGTATTATGTTAAAAGTTTATGGTATTATGTTAAGAGTTTATATGTTTTATGTATTATGTTAGATTATGTATATTATGACAAGAGTTTATGTGTATTTTACTATACAATTTTGTACATACAAAACAAGGGATTTTTAGGGTGCACAATGCATGATTTGACTGGTTCACAATTTACTTCTTTATGGGCTTCGAACAAATTTATAGAGGGAAAAATTGTCTAATTGGTCACATGGATAATGCAATTGGATCCTTTAAGTAAAAAATGTTCCATTGAAGTAAAGAAGTAAATTGTGAACCACTCAAATCATGTCAATTGTTATATTGTGCACCAGGGTGCACAATAATATGTTTGATTTTTAATAAATAAAAAAATTATTTTAAAAATAAATAAAAAGAACACGTGTCAACACCACACATATTTAACCTGATAAACAAGTCAATTTAGATTTAATTGAACAATTTTACCGATTTAGGAGACTTCAATGGAACTTTTTTTTTTTTTTTACTTAGGAATCCAATTGCACTATTCATGTGACTTAGGGAGCCAATTTGATATTTTTTTTCTTTATATATAGAGTCAGGATATATAGTATGATAAAATCCAAAAATTTGGATTATCAAAATAAAAAAGTTGGTATTTTGTATGCATGTGTTTTTCCTAAGATTTGGAATCTTCCATCACAATTTCAGTAGTCACCACATGGCCACGTCTTCTCCCCTAAGCCACCAGGCTTACTGCCACTGGACACCATTCAAATCTCGCACGCAAATCACTCACCACAAACTCTCCCTCATGAACGTCTCCTCACACCAATATATATAAGCAGCAAAAATGGCACCAAAGACTAACCTTGAAAACTATACAGAGCAAAAATGGGTCTCAGGGCTCTGACCTTGACGCCTCCACAGAGTGGCATTTTCACAAACACTGGGTGTGCACACAAGCTCTCAACTTGTAGCGGCGTTCCCAGCAGAAGAAGCCTCAAGAAATCTTTCGTGGTTTCAGCCAAGAAAGAGAAGAGCGATGAAGAACCCGCGCAGAGGAAGCAATCTCTGTTCAGTAGTGTGACGGAAGCTCTCGATTTTTCCCAGGTTAGATCCGCCAAAGATGCCGAGCTTCTTGAAGATGCTAGGGAAGCAACTCAATCCGGAGGGAGAATGTCCAGAGAACAGGTAAACTTTAATCTTTTAGTTTTGCTCTTATCATTTAAAAGTTTAATTTAGAGTTAATTCCATTTTTGTCCTAGTATTATAGTGGGGTTAGTTTTTATAAATATTACAAACTTAAAAGTTTACATCAATTATAATTTTTTTTTTAATTATTAAAATTTTTCATTGATGAACTTTGATGGAGGCTGAGATGAGTTCACACTTTTTTTACGAAAGTGAATTATTCGCATTTGAACTCACTATATATATACTGACTTGACCTTCTTGCAGTATGGAGCTCTCAGAAGAAAGATTGGAGGAACATACAAGGATTTCTTCAAGTCTTATGTTGAGGGTAAACTACTCATATCAATATCTAATTTAATTTTTCCATATAAATATAAAAGGGTAAGGTGCTAATTTGGACAGTGTCGTATATCGAGTATTACCCACGGTATGATACTTGAGTTGTATCGGGTACTGTTAACAATTTGTATCCAAAATATTCGGTACAACTTGACATGTCATGAGTAATAATACCTTGTACAAATCAACATCCTACCCATTAGGCCATCAACACCTTAAAATTTTATTTTATTTCTTAAAGAAAGGTATTGCTACATTTCTTACAAGAAATTTTCATTTCTACAATACCCGATGCAACTAAACATACTATGAGTAATGATATACATCGTACAAATCAGCATCTTATATATCGATCGACGCCTTAAAATTTTCTAAAAAGAAAAGAAAGGTATTGATGCATTTCTTACAAGAATTTGCCATTTGTGGGGTTTGGCAACAGTGGATGGGCAGTATGTGGAAGAGGGATGGGTTGACAAGACATGCAAAATCTGCAAGAAGGACACAAAGGGAGAAGCAAGGCAAGTAGACAAGCTTGGAAGATATGCCCATGTTGCATGCCTGGAGAAGAAAGCCACTTCTGGCAACTTCTTTACCAAACTCTTCTCATGAATCATCATCAAGAACACCACTCTGAAAACATGAAAATTTTTGTTTCTCTTTTGTTAGTTTGTGCTACATATCAATTCAGGTATATATGTTTGCTTGTCAATCGACACAATGCAATACAAAGGCTTGTAGAACATTTTAGTATTATACCATTCAATACCTTTTATGTTGTATCAAAAATTAACTATTCAATATAGAGAAAGATGTAGGAACCGCACCGAGTAGGAAATATGCCGGGAGCTTATTCCCCACCCTAATCCCTAAGTTTGAGGTAAAAAGTGGAACGTTCTCAAGACTATATACATTGTTTGCTACAAATTTGCATGTTTTATTACCCTACTCACTAGTACAAATTTGCGGAGATGGAAAACCCCCATAGAGGGTGGGGAAAATGTTTTCCCCGAACCCAAGAACAAGGGTAGAACTAGGGTTGGTGGTTGGGGTTATGGACAAGGAAGAAAATTATTGTGTGATCATGAATAAGTACATTTTTAATATATTAAAAGTACATTATTTTTGTACTGAAGATACATTATATAAAATAATGTATCCTTAGTATATTAAAAATATATTTTCAAAAAATGTATCTTACACACATAAATAATATATTATTAGTATATTAAAAATATACTTTTTATTTATGGTCCACACAATTGTATGGACCATGGTCCATGTGGGACAAGGAATTGGTTCCTTAGCTTGCATATTCCCTCTTACGTGGTCATCTCAATTTGGGTCCAGTCCTGGACATGTTTGTCCAAGCCCACTTCAATTTTGCAGGCCCAATTTTATTTTAAAAAGTGGGATTATAGTGCATTTGAAAAATGACTTATCAGTCAAATTTTACTTTGTTTGACCAATTTTAACTGTTTGATCAATCAATAAGGCAAAATGGGTGTTTATATATAGTTTGTTCAATGGCACCAAGTTGCTTCCTTATAGGAGAGGTTGTGGGTTCGAGTTTTAGTGGATGCGATATTGGTTCTTTGTGCTTCATTTAGTTGAGAAAGTAATTAGGAACAGATCGAGCCTTAGTGGAGATGATAAATAATGTTGAATGATTCTTTTAACCTTGAGAGGCATTTCTTCTTATATTTGGTAATGATAATGGGTTTTAGTGAATGAGAATGATTATAAATAATGTTGTTTGGTTATGTATGATCTTATAATGTGAATAAAGATTTTAAAAATAGAAGAACACAAAATCAAGACAATTGATTCTAATATAAAGACATCTAAAGCACCAATATGAACAAAAAAATAAAAACAAAAATCTAGAAGCACTAATCAAGGGATGAGAAGGAATAAGGGAATGAAAGGGGATGATATCCTTATTTTATTTGGGTATGAATTTTTCAATTAAGGGGTATGATGGGGTAAGGACCCCGGCCCAAGAGATAGGGGCCCAAAGGAAATGGTTCAAGACAGGAGAGGTGGGCCAGCGTCTGAGGAGCCCGAAGAGCAATTGGGCCGAGTCCTGGAGTCGGCCCAAGCCCAAGCACGGGGCCCGGATCAGAACTGCTAAAGAGGAGCCCAGTGGGAGCACAGGCTAAGACGAGGAGTCGACCAAGGCCCAAGCCCAGGAGAAGACTCGGTTCAAGGAGCCGTTGAGAGCATTGAAGAGGCTTGTTTAAAAGGGAGCCGTTAGGGCATTGAAAGCAGGACCCGGTCAGGCTGTTACAAACCTGGAAGAGCCGTTGGTCGACCGAGTAATGGCATCCAACGGCTCCATATTTTAATTAGTCTTGAAGTCGGCCATTAAGGGCCTTCAAGTCGGTAGAGGAGGAGTCACTATATAAAGGCTCCTCCATTCTTGTAAAAGGGGACAACTGAACACCCAGAGGGGGGAGAATACCAAAAAAGATTCCGAGTACTAGCGTTGTCTCCGAGATAGGCATACATTTCTATTGAAAGGTGCACCCTCCAGCCAAAGGTTGTGTTAGACCTCCTTGGGCCTGAAAACCCTAAAACCATCACTGGCACCGTCTATGGGGATTGAAACTAAGAGTCACGTGTCCTCTTGAGTGAGGCGAGTCCGAGGAACGACAATTAGAATCTCAGTCAAATTAGAAAAGCTCCAGACATGGCAGGAAGTGAGGAACAATCGAGCCGTTATGACAATGGACGGGAGGCAGACCTGAGAAGCCAGCTGAATCGGAAAAACGCCCGGAGCCGGGAAAACGAGACAACACCGCCGCCGACACCACAGATAAACCAACAATTGCCTCAAGTGCTGCTCACCCCGGAGCAGCTACGCGCAATCGGGCGCGCCTGCGCCGAAGCAAGCCTAGGAGTGAGAAAACAGTCCGTCACTCGCCAGCCGCAACGTGGGTTACAGCCGCCTCATAGGCCCGACAACCGGCAACCGAGCCGACGGGCCGAAAGCCAACCGGTACAGTCCGTTCATTCTCGGCTGGGTCCCAGCGTTGGGCGTCTGTCTGCAAGAGAACGATTGGGTCGGAAGGAACCCAGTCGTGCCCCATTAGCCGCTCGCGATCGACAAGCTGCACGAGAGAAGAACCATACCAAAAGAGCTAGGACTGAGACTCGTCGCGTGGAGCAACCCCCTCGCAACCCCGACCAACCGGATGAGTCTGAAGTCGGTGAGAGTACGGAATCCACGGGAAATCTCACCCGGGAGAGGGTCGAAGTGGCGAACTTAGTACAAGAAGTGCGAAATCTGAAAGAACGGATGGAGGGGAAAGCCAAATCCCCAGGACGTACGTTACTGACCGCCTTACCCTTCTCGGACGAGGTTATGGCTTTTAAGATACCGGGTGATTTCAAGTTCCCGGAGCAGGCCACGTTCGATGGAACCGGCGATCCCCGGGAGCATTTGCTGAGCTACTAGGCTAAGATGCAGGTTTTGGGGGTACGAGATCCGGTCATGTGCCGCGCTTTCTTACCCACGTTGAAAGGGTCAGCACAAAGGTGGCTAGTGGCGCAGCCCTCGGGGTCGATTCACAACTTTGAAGAGCTGGCAGACCGCTTCATGAGCCATTATGCCGCTAATATCAAACCACAAAAGGACCTAACACACTTGGGCGATATTCGTCAGGATGAAGGCGAGTCCTTGAAAACCTATCTGGCCCGCTGGCAGAAAGAAATCCAGTCCATAGAGGAGGTCGAAGACCAGACGGCGCTCACCTTCTTCATCGAGTCCTTGCGGTCCGGCCAGCTATACTGAGACCTGAGGGACAATCGCCCGACCACCTACGCAGAAACCATTCATATGGCCAACAAGAGGGCCAACACAGAGCAGGCTATGAAGTATAAGCGGCAGCGCGAAGTCGGCGGATCCACCAGCGGGAAGAGGACGCGAGTTGAAACCAAGGAAAGGCGCCCGGACGTAACTCGGCGACCCGAGGGCAGACGGCCGTACGACAGACCCGTCGTCCACGCCTATCGGCCGATTCCCGAACGTCCGGTCCACGAGATACAAGCGGTTGCCCCGCCTCCGCCTCCGCCGACCGACGATCGCCTGACGAACGAAGAGATGGATAAGACCTCTAAGTATTGTCGTTATCATAAATCTTATACTCACAGCACGGAGGAATGCTTCTACCTGAAGAAGATCATGGAGGGTATCATTTAGCAAGGAACCCCGCCTCCTAATCAGTGGAGGCGGAGATCGGTCAATCGAAGGGATGAGGATCCCGCCGCCGTTGCCGAAAACAGTCGAGCAAGCAGCCGGCTCCCAAAGAGGAGGAGGCTCAGTGGCGTCAGAAGCCGGTTATCAACATGATAGTCGGCGGGCCGGAAGGTGATGACTCAACGAACACCAGAAAAGCCTGGGCCCGCCAGTTATACGTCGGAACGGTGTACGGACGCGAGGAGAACCCTAAAAAGGTGTGCCGAGAGCCCATTGTGTTTACCGGCCGAGATTTACCAGCCGGGGAAATACCGCATCGAGATGCGTTGGTTATAGCCATGGACATCAATGGCGTTGTCGTTCGACGAATCCTGGTAGACACCGGAAGCAGCGTCAATGTGCTATACCTAGAAACCTTCATCAAAATGGGAATGACTCGAGAACAGCTGAGTCCTGTCAAAACTCCCCTCGCCGGTTTCACAGGGGACTCGGTGGAGGCGGAAGGATCAATCACACTTCCAGTTGAGATCGGCAGTTACCCAGATGTACAGAAACTCAGCATGAAGTTCATTGTGGTGAACCTGGCCTGTTCGCATAACGCTATACTCGGCCGACCGGGTCTCGAGGATCTAGGAGCTCTGATTTCAATTGAGCATCTTTGTTTAAAATTCCGCACGCCAAATGGAATAGGCACGGTACGCTGTGACCGTAAGGTCGCCCGCGACTGCTACCTACAGGCATGTAGGGGGATGGGCAAACACGAGATACAGGTCCATGAGATCACCGAGAGGCCCCCAAAAAAGATGATAATACCACGTCCAGAGCCTGCCGTCGAGTTGGAAGAAGTCGAGATCCACTCCACACAGCCGGACCGACGGGTCCGAATTGGAGTCGGCCTCCCCGCGGAAGTAAAGGAAGAAATTATAAAGGTGCTCCGGGAACACCGGATGGTCTTCGCCTGGTGCCCGGAGGACATGCCGGGCGTCGACCGATCGATCATATCGCACAGACTCGCCGTGGATCCCGGGCATCGACCGGTTGTGCAGAAGAAGCGATACCTAGCCAATGACCGAAGAGAATTTGTGAAGAAGGAAGTGAGCACGCTACTCGCAGCCGGACACATCCGCGAAGTTAAGTACCCGCAGTGGTTGGCGAATGTGGTCCTTGTACCCAAGCCCCCGGCGTGGCGGATGTGCGTGGACTACACCGACCTTAATAAGGCCTGCCTAAAAGACCCGTTTCCCTTACCTCGGATCGATAAACTGGTCGACGAGACGGCGGGGTCGGCGCTGTTGAGCTTTATGAACGCCTTTAGGGGGTACCATCAGATATTCATGCACTCGGCGGACGAAGAAAAGACCGCGTTTTTGACACCGGACGGAGTTTATTGTTACCGAGTCATGCCCTTCGGGCTCAAGAACGCCGGAGCCACATATACCTGAATGGTGGCCCGATTGTTTCAGCACCTGTTGGGAAAATCGATGGCCGCGTATGTCGACGACATGCTCGTCAAGAGCTGAGAGGAGAGCAAACACGCAGAAGATTTGGCCGACTGCTTCAAAGTGATGATAA